GTGTGTGTGTGTGTGTGTGTGTGTGTGTGTGTGTGTGTGTGTGTGTGAAATTCTCACAGTGCTCCTCTGTGGATGAATTTATCTGGTCTTCAGCTGAGCACTCCTGAGCCTAGGCATTCAGTCATTTGTTGGTTTGAGAAGGAATCCCACATGTTTCAGGTTGGCCCCAATAGCTTCTGCCATTTGCCCCTTCTTTATGAGCAAGTGCTCAGTGCCCACTGTTTTGTCCTTGGGGAAAAATACCTTGCCTTCCCACAGGAATAAAAAAGAAAAGCATTAATAAACTTGACCAAAATTGCATTTTGCCATATAAACTATTTCAAGAATAAAATTAATACATTTCTTACTGCTACTCAAGCTCAGATTTCTGTCCCAAATTTATCCTAATTTCTGGCATTGCACTAGATATGATTTCTTTTCTCCCTCTGATTTTTTTTCTCATAACATGCTTCAGTAATTCCATTTTTAAAAATCTCATTCAATATGACTCTTTCTAGATTACTTTATTTTTTATTCATAAAATTTTTATTGCTTTTAGATTCACTTCAGAATTTCTTCTATTCACAGATTTTTCTTTCTAGCACTCTGTCATGGGTTGCTACCAGAACTTTCCTTCTGAAGTTGTAAGCTATTTGAGGGAAGATATAAGGCTCACTGTTTTCTTTTTCGATACTTTTTTACCCTTTCTCTGGCTCCCAATGTATTCTGCCCATTTCCAACATTTTTTCCAATTAAGATTTTTCCTGTTAAAAATGAGAGAACTATTAACATATGACAATAAAATTAATGAAATACTGGACATATGATGTGACCCTAAGGAACTTCATGATTCCCCACCGTCTTCCACAGTCATAACACTTTTACCTTTCAAAGCATCTTCTGAGACTCAAGGCAATCCCTTAACTATAGTCTCCTACCCCTGTAAAGTCATAAGCAAATTCCATAATTCCAATATATATATATATATATATATATATATATATATATATATATATCTTATTATTATTATTATTCCAAAGGGGAGGAATCACAGTACGGTCAGGAAATAATGGACCAAATACCAAACAAAGCAAGACAAAAACCCAGAGGGACAAATTTCAGTTCCTGTAGCTCCATGTCTAATGTCACAGGGGTAAGATGCCCTCCATGCTTCTAGCTTTGTTGTTAGCAATATACGTCTATCACTAGTGGGATAGTGGGAAGATTCAACCTGAAAGTGCGCAGCACCTATTTTGGGGCACTGGGCGACATAAGAGTAGAGAAAGCTAGCTAAGTACTAAGTATTCAAGAATTCATTCCTTTTAGTGCTTGGCTGTGTATGTGAGGTGACTTTATGCTTTAGCTTCTTCCTTCCTTCACTTCCATGCAATAGTGCACTATAATTTGGAACCATGAGGTAAAATAAACCTTTCCCCCGGTGCACAAGGAGGCACAATCACATCAAAATTCTCAGGGAGGGGCTGCAATAATCAAACCAAGGACCATGCATGGAGAAGATCTAAACCCCTTGTTCAGAGGAAGCCCATTGGCTGCTCAGTTTCCAAGTGGGCTTCCTAGAAAGTGGTATAGGGGCTATCTCTGACATGAACTCAGTGGCTGGCTCTTTGATCACCTCCCCCTGAGAGTTGCAGCCTTGCCAGGCCACAGAGGAAGATGATGCAGCCAGCCTTGATGAGACCTGATAGGCTAGGGTCAGCTAAAAGGGGTATTAGAGAAAGAGCATAGAGGAAAGAGCATAGAGGAAAAAGAGGGAGGGAGTGTGGGACTGGGAGGAGACAAGGGAGGGGGCTGCAGCAAGGATACAAAGTGAATAAATTGTAATAAATAAAGACATAAATAACATTAAATTTAAAAAAAAAACTCAACTATATGTCATTTTCCCCCAAGAAGCTGGATTCTAGAAATAGGCTACCTGTGTTAGCATAAGGGCCTAGGGAAAGGTCCTCATAGAGGTCATTTGGGCTACTGGCTATCTCTCTGATCCTGGTTGTAGGAGCTTGGGGAAGCCCCTAGCTATACTGATAATATAAAGGTCTTTTAGCCTATTAACTAGGTACCTCTGGTCTTGGTTGTGGGAACTTGATAAGGGTCTAGCCCAACAGATGGCTCAGATCACCAGGCTGTTAATCACCTCCAATTCTCAGCATTCTGGATGGAAAAACAGATGTGTGTGTGTGTGTGTGTGTGTGTGTGTGTGTGTGTGTGTGTGTGTTTCCTTCTTTTGAGAGGACAATCCTGTACAATCCTATGCGCTTAACATTTCTGTTTTCCCTGGTGATCTGTGGACATAAAGACCTTCTTATTCTCAACAAAGAGAGCTCAAAAGAAAGTATAAGAGTCAGGTACTCATTTACTCATAAGCGCATAAGAAAAACCTAAACTAGAAGCTACAAATATGTACACAGAGGCCTTGGTACAGGCCTGTGCACAGGCATAAGTCTGTGTGAGTTCATATGCTCTTGTTGATTTAGAGGACCACGTTTTCTTGTGTCTTTAATCCTCTCTAGCCCTTACACTTTTTCTGCCTCCTTTTCTGGTGGTGGTGGTGGGGTGTCCTGAGCTGTGAAAGGAGGGATGGAGACAACCCACTTAGAGCAGTGTGTTCTAAGTTTCTCAGTTTCTGCATATTGTCAGGCTGTGGGTCTCTGTATTTGTTCCTATCTGGTGAAGGAGGAAGCTTCTCTGGTGAAAGATAAACAAGGCACTAAGTATAGCAGAATATCATTAAGAGTCATTTTGTCACCACATTTTTTTTTTATAACAGTAGTATTTGGTTTTACTCTAGGTCCCTGGACTATCTAGTCTCAGGTTTTTGGCTCGCCAAGCAATGTTGAGGATGGGTGCCGTCTTATGGAGTGGGCCTTAAGTCAAATCAGTTATTGGTTGGTTACTCACAGGTGTCTTGGGCCACATTCACTCTAGTATATCTTGCAGATAATACACGATTGTAGAAAAAAGGTTTTATGGATGGCTTGGTGTTTACACTTCTCTTTTGAGAGCATGCAGAATACATTCTTGTGCCCAAGATTATGAAACATAGGAGTGAAAGCTCTGTGTAGACATCAACTGGACACCTCCATGTTCAATGAGTTGTGTAGGTGTTTCTTCAGCAATGAGGCCTTCCTTGCTGTCAGCTTGTGAAGAGAAACCTATAGTCTTGCAACAGACTCACTTCTTTGGGAATTCCTGTGGGGCCCCTTTGGCCAACAACTCAATTTGATATAACTCAGTCCCAGTACTGGGTACTTGCATCTTGGTTTGGTGAGGAGAGATAGCCATTGGGGATATCTTCCCCCATTACATGGAAATTTTATTAAGATCACCTTCATAAATATATATTCTTATTTTTAAGGAAATTTCTACTCATAGCATATCCTGAAGGCATATTGCTACTGTAATTCAGTGTTTGTAGCTGGATGAAATTATTACTTTTCTTATGGTATTGTATATAGCTCTTACAGGCACTATGAATTCAAATTAGAAGTGGTGAAACTTCTAGCCAAGCATCATCCTAATTTCTCCATATTCAATGCCATCAGTATGGAGCATCTTTAGTGGCAAGATTATATATATATATATATATATATATATATATATATATATATATGTACATGCATCTACAGTAGTATATTTCCATGTGGCTTTTACAAAGCCTTTAAAGTTAATTAGTGATAACTACCAAGACCTCTCATAACCTTTCTCATTTAGGCCTCATATTCTAATTTCCTCCTTAACTCTTTATAATATTATATTCTATCCTCTCCTCTCCTCTGGTACCTTACCAGCTACCTAAATTTTGTGGAATTTTCTTTGAACAAATGAAAATCAAAACCTATCATCTTAGTCAGGGTTTCTATTGCTACCATGAAACACTATGACCAAAGCAACTTGTGACAGAAATGGTTTAATTGGCTTACACTTCCACAGTAGTGTTTATTATCAAAGGAAGTCAGGACAGGAACACAAACAGATAAGGAACCCAGAAGCAGAATCTGATGCAGAGGCCATGGAGAAATGCTGCTTACTGGCTTGCTCCCCATGACTTGCTCACCCTGTTTTCTTATAGAACCCAGGTCCACCAGTCGAGGATGACACACCTACAATGGGCTAGGCCCTCCCGATCAATCACTAATTTAAAAACTCGTTTGACCACAGCCCACCTTATGGAGGTATTTTCTTAATTGAGGTTTCTTCTTCTTAGATGACTTCAACTTGTATCAGGTTGACATAAGACTATGTACCACTATATCTAAATTTGAAAATTTTTGGACAGAATGGACAACATTTAGGCTAAAAAAATCATGAAAATTAAGACACACATAAATAATGTCAGGTATATTTATTTGAAACTCAGGCATTCAATAGAATTAATTAGATTTCAGTTAAGTACATAGCTGGTAGGCTGAAATCATTACTAAACAGTAAATCAAATATAATGGCAGAAAATGGACAGAAAGAACCAGAAATCATTTTAAAATAGTAACTGTAATATTTAATTGCTTTTTATGTGGAATTAAAATTTTCAACTTGTAATGAAATCATTCTGAGCCTCTGGGTATTAAGAGGAGCTTATTAATAAGGAAACGTCCCAAAGCACGATTTATACCTGAAGTTATCATAGCCATATTCCAAGTCATTGATAACCAGCCACCTGCAAAATTGAAACAGATATATTTGAAGATACTTAAGAAAATATAAACACATCAGAATATCAAAATACATAAGTGATTTTTTTTCTAATTATTGAGTTTGCCATATATTAGTAGTTATATATGACCTAGATTTAGGAATGTATGTAAGAAAATATATTGTGTTGGGCAATCTGACAGCACAATGAAAAGCTCCTTAACTGAGAATCATAACTATTATAAATTTATCAAGCAATACTTTAGCTACAATACTGTATAGAAAGTAATGTACAATTTCTAAGTGTGTTTATTTTATTTTGAAAAACCTTTAGGACACACGTTGAAATTCTTTTTTCCCATGGTACTTGTTTATATATATATTAATTACAGGTTATTTACTTTGTATCCCAGCTGTAGCCTCTCCTTCATTCCCTCCCAATCCTACACTTCCTCCCTCATCTCCTTCCTGCCCCTCTTTAAGTCCACTGATAGGGGAGGTCCTTTTCCCCTTCCATCTGATCCTAGGTTATCAGGTCTCTTCAGGACTGGCTTCAATGTTCTCCTCTGTGGCCTAGCAAGTCTGCTCCTCCCTTGGGGAGTGGGAGTCAAAGAGCCAGCCACTGAGTTCATGTCAGAGACAGTCCCTGTTTCCCTTACTAGGGAACCCACTTGGATACTGAGCTGCCATGGGCTACGTCCTTAGAACATTGGCTTTTGTTTGAATACTTTCTGAGAGGAAGACTTGCTCCTATATGATTGATGCTAGAATGGAGCTCTAGCAAATCAATGTTCTTAAGCCTCAGAGTCAGCCTATGAAAAGATGAAACATATTTACTCTACACAGTTGTCCCTAATATTAAATGCATTAAAGTGCTTAAATGCATGATAGTAATGAAGTCACCAGTAGTTTAATATTTTAGTATCCATGTGCTTATGTGAAATCATGTATACCATGTGCGTACAAGAGCCTGCAGATGTTAGAAAGTGGTTTTTGGTCTCCTGGAACAAGAGTTGAAAGTGTTTGTGAGTCCCTGTCATCATAAGAGCAGTGATTCTTCTCAGCCACTGAGATACCTTTCTGGTCCCAGTAGTTAATATGTTTAAAGGAAACATATTACATATTAAAACCACAACACACAGAGGTGCTCATGTTAGAGAATTATTAAATCTGCTTATGATTTAACAGGATGTTTATAATTTGGACAGTTATTTAATTTCAATGGAGCTTTTAAAACAAAGCAATGATGATACTGGCCCCGACTTCACAGAGGCTATGAACATTGAATGAGAGTATGTTATGTTCCATAGTAGAGCTGACACTAAATAAACATTCTGAAACCACCATTCTCTGTACCTGCTTCACTACAACGATATGTACTACTTTTTATGCTCAAATCCTTGTCCATGAACACTGTTACGTGCCTTCAATTAAACAGCAAAAGGAAATAATTGAGCCATCCTCTTTGTTTCTTTTTAATTACAGTTGACAAGTCTCTAGAGTCTGTAACTAACCTGAAAACAAGCCTGAGGAGTAGCTTTCATGGGACTAGAAGGCACCATACAAGCTTCCAAAAGAGAGAAGCAACCAACAGTCCTACTGACCCACGGCACTTATGAACAACAATGACTAGCAGGGCATGGTAAAGCTAAGGATGCAAGAGTGGAATGCATAACTTGATGGTAACCGACAGTTTTCTTACTGGACGTAAGGCTCAGTCAACAAAAGGGAAATCATGCTAGATACTGAAAACCCAACCAACTACATATAGCTAGTAAAGTCCTGGAGCTTGGAGTAGAACCTACAAACATCATACATTCTAACTACATTGTAAATACATTGTTCCTATACTCACATATAAATGTAATTCTCACTCTGCAACAAGGAAACTTCTCTTTGCAACAGGCAGAGACCATTGTAAAAGACAAGCAACAGGACAGGAGCCTTCCACAGGGGGTCTCTGAAAGACTCTACCCACCAGTGTATTGAAGGAGATACTGAGACTCATAGCCAAACTTTGGGCAGAGTGCCAGAATTCTTGTGGAAGAAGAGGGACATAGAAAGACTTGGAGGACTGAGGATCTCCACCAGGAGACAAACAGAGCCAAAATACCTGGGTGCAGGGGGTCCTGCAGGGACCCCAACCAAGGACCATGAGAGGACCTATATCCCTTGTACAAAGAAAGTGCATTGGCTGCTCAGTTTCTAACTGGGTTTCTTAGAAAGTGGTACAGGGACTGTCTCTGACATGAACTCCGTGGCTGGCTCTTTGATTACCTCCCCCTGGTAACATTAGAGTAGAGAAAGCTAGCTAAGTACTAAGTATTCAAGCATTCACTACTTTTAGTGCTTGGCTGCATATGTGAGGTGACTTTATGCTTTAACTTCTTCCTTCCTTCACTTCCATGCAATAGTGTGCTATAATCTGGAACTGTGAAGTAAAATAAACCTTTTCCTGGTGCACAAGGAGGCATGATCACATCAAAACTCCCAGAGGGTCCTGCAGAGACCAATACCCCAACCAAGAACCATGCATGGAGAAGACCTAAACCCCTTGTTCAGAGGAAGCCCATTGGCTGCTCAGTTTCCAAGTGGGTATCCTAGTAAAGGCTATAGGGGCAATCTCTGATATGAACTTATTGGCCAGTTCTCTAATCACCTCCCCCTGGGGGGGTGCAACCTTGCCAGGCCACCGAGGAAGATGATGCAGCCAGCATTGATGAGACCTGATCAGCTAGGGTCAGATAGAAGTGGAGGAGATCCTCCCCTATCAGTGGACTAGGGGAGAGGCGTGGGAGGAGAAGAGGGAGGGTGGGTGAGACTGGGAGGAAATAAGGGAGGTGGCTGCAGCGGGGATACAAAGTGAATAAATTGTAATAAATAGATATATAAATAAAATTAAATTAAAAAAAAACTGCAACAAATCAGAATGCAAAGTTCTAGAGCCCCATCCCAGGGGATAAAGCTATAAAATAGTTCTCCCACCTAAGGGAACACTGTGGAAGAGGAAGCAAAGAGATTATAAGAGCCATGCAATCAGTGAATTTGCTGTGAGACTGCATCTCCAAGGAGTGTTAGATGCTAAATACTCAAAGTCTCACCAACATGACTGCCTAGACATGACCTGAACAAGAACAACAGCAATAGATATGCTGATGTTGATGGAGGGGATGGGATGAAGCCGAGGAAGTCTCAGTTCTAATACAAGGAATGGGTAGTGCTGAGATTTCACACCAGTTGGTTATCCAATCTTAAATGGACAAGTATATTGCTCAAACTGACAGGTTGTAATTATATATTTTGAATATGTATATGCATATATATGTAAGCAAAATATTAATAAAATAGAAATAATAGATATAAAAGAGAGCATCAAAGGGTGTACAGGAGGCTATGAAGAGAGGAAAGAGGGGAAAATATTTAATTGTATTAATCTCAAACATTAAAAAAACTATGGGAGCATGGGAGAAACTTTAATATGCAAAATAAACATTCTGTCATCTACTTGGCAACTGATATAGACACTGTCCAGTTACCACCTTCATTTGTAACATTTGTTACATTTTATTTAGTAGTTGAGAATGCAAACATGCCAAGTCATGTGTGGGAAGTTAAAGGACAATTTGTAGAGTTGGTTTTTCTCTTCCCACCATAAGATATTGAGCTTGAACTCAGCTCATCATACTCGCACAACACACACCTAAATATGCAGAGCCTTCTTTCCATTCTCACACCTTGGATCTTCTAAATCTTTTCAGAAGTATGCAAATTTTAAATACACTGCAATTATTTATATGGCTATTTCACAGCTTAATTAAGGAGATGTTAAGTTCATTTGATTTTTATAATTATAATTGGTTTATCTAAAATAGAGTAGATAGATAATAATCCTTGTTGAGTGAATACATATTCAGATCTCATGAGGTTTTGATTCATGTAAGTTTTACTCATATTTCAAAATCATACCTGTGGTTTTAACTGTGTTAGAAATGGCCATAACTGCAGCTAAAAGTGCTTTTTCCCTTTTGCTGAAATCTCTTACAAAAACTGTATATTCTCCATCATTGAGTAGCCTGTGTGGGAAACCCACAAGGAATTCTTTTGAACTATTATAATGTGCACGGTATATGGCAGCCTCACACAACTCCATGGCTACGTGAAAGTCCAGGGTGAAGCTTCTGTCAGATTCTGAATAATACCACGACCTAAAAAACAGTCAAACAGAGTGCTTTTAAAATACTGCTCTCTAAATGAAAAGTAAAGTCCAAATCTTTGTTTCCCTTCCATGTTCTATTCCTTAGAATCATTCCGTAATTTGATGAATTGTTTATTCATCAAAATATATAGTTTCAGTATAAGGAGTTATATCCCATGACAACTTTCATATTGTACTCGGATGGAAAATCGCATGTGTTCATGAGTACAGTTGCTCTGGGAGGCCAGAAGTCAGCAGATCCCTGGAGCGAAAGTTACAAGGAAGGGCAAGCTGTGGGTGCTGGGAATTGAGCTCTGGTCTTCTGCAAGATCAGTATGTGTTTCTAACCCCTGAGGCATCTCCCCAGCTCCTCAAGTGTAGCCCCATGGTTCCGCATTAAATTTCTTCTCTAATTCTCAGTTATTAAGTTATTTTCTACATAAGAAGCTTAGGTGTAAATATGATAAAGTTAACCAGGGTAACCAGCAGACATCCAGAGGCAAGAAGGGTGTTCATTAGAATCATGAAAAAAGGAAAAAAAATATGCAGGTAATGGCAGTCTAAATATGAAATATCCCAATATACTTTCCTAAATTTAATTTGGGACTGCCAAAGAGAAAACCTACTTAATGTAAGCTTAAAATTGAGCAAACATCAACTAACCTTCACAAAATCTTACACCTGTTTTTATTTTAATTTGAAATAACAATTAGTTTCATACAGATTGCCTAATTTAACTGAAGCATATATAAGCCCATCTTTCAATAATCATAATCCAGATTGTAGCCTTCTAATATGTCTGTTAGTAAAAAGAGTAAATCTTCTTATAACTAAGATACTGCAAACCACAAGGAGAAGTTATCCTACAAATATCTCTTGTATTGTCCAGCACATGACCCAAAGTATTCAGAACAATTAAAAATAACAATTAACTGAAAATTAAGAAGATATAATAAGCCGGAGAGATGGCTCAGCTTGTAAGAGCACTGTCTGCTCTTCCAGAGGTCCAGAGTTCAATTCCCAGCAACCACATGGTGACTCATGACCATTTATACTGGAATCTGATGACTTCTCTGGCATTCAGGCATAGGTGCAGATAGATCACTCATACATAAAATAAATAAATTAGATGTTTTCTTAAGATATAATAAATATTCTATTAAATTATACTATAATAGAATATCCATTATACTCTCAGGAACTTTAAAATAGTTTTGATAATAAAAACTTAAATCATAATATATTAGACCCCTGTCTATCAAGATATAGAAGAATACAATTTTAAAAAGGATTTCTTTATGAGAAGAATTAGACACAAAAAATTTTGAATAAAAGGTAATGAATTCAAACAGAAAAAAGAGCTTATTGTGAATAATTTTATCTTCCACATTCAATAACTAAAAATAATTATTTTAAACTGATTATTTAAGGGTAACACTCTGAAATTCATGTCTAACATTTATTCAATGCTCAAAATGTTTTATTTATAAATGTTAACAAATTCCCAACTTTGTAAGAAAAAACCAAAAGAATAAGGATTAATAAAAATATCTCTAGAGACAATGTACAACAATTCAGAAACACAAGAGTACCAGATATCAGACATTATTATAAGCACAAATAATAATATAAAAATGGGAAAATCAGCAAAATTAAGTTTGCCCATACACCTGTCAAATACCAAGAGATTTCTAAATTCCATAATCTTCACATGGAATTAATTCTCAATCATAACAAAAATAGACAGAAATAAAAATGTTTTGAAATGTATTAGCATTAAATGTTTTATCTAGAAAGCCATCATTATAAAATGAACTAGAGAACAAAAATTAAGCAAAATCAGCATTTTCTGGTTAATACTTGAGAGCACGTCTGGCCTCTGGCTGAAGGATGGTGCAGTAAAATGACATGTGGCTCAGAATCCCACCGCCTTCCCTTCTCAGTTACCTGACACATGGCTGTCTGTACCCATGGATTCCTCATGTACAGATTCAACCAGGCAACAATCAAAGAAAAGTCGGAAGAGATGGCAGTTCTACTGTAGAACTATCCTAGATTGCATAGGTATTTATTTCTTAAACAATACAGAACAACAGTTCTAAAGCATAGCTGAGCTAGGTATTATAATCAATCTAGAAATTATATAAAGCACTCAAAAGAATGCACATATATGTAAATACTATTAATTTTGCACAAATTGTTTGAATATCTATTGTTTTATTTTCCCCTGTGGTTTTGAGGCAGTATTTTCTTGAAGCCCAGGTTAAGCTCACCATCTTCTTGCCTATGTTTTGAGAATGTTAGTAACAGCTCTGTGTCACAATACCCAACCATGTGGATATTTGTAATTTTAGAGGGCCTAGTGATCAGAAAAACAAAAATGAAAAATTATTTCATACTGCATCCATAAAACATTGCTTATGTATCAGGAACTACTTTATTTCATATGGTACCACCAGAGAATGTTTGAGACCTTTTTCTGAACGATGTAAACATATCCAACCAACCTTTCATTTTATTCTTTGATGATGTACCTACCAAATGACTCTTAGCTGAATAACAGATGAAAATGGAAAAGAGGCTTCGCAAGGCATTCTAAAAAGTAGGGCAACCAAATACTGAGACAGAAATCTTACACATTATTGTTTAGAGTGCCAAGAAGAAATGAACAAGTGATCATATCGTGGAAACCAGTTATCTTACCTGTCACTGAACATTGATAATGCAATGTTGATAGCTGCCCGATGGGCCTTCCACATAAGAAGGGTTGCCGTGTTTTCGTTTGTGTTATACACAGTGATATTGTTGACAGTAGCCAATTGCCTCCTGGATTGCAAATACTACAGAATAAACAATGGTATGTATGAGAGTAGAACTCACTTCAAACTAAAAGAAATTTAATAACTGGGCTAATGAATTGCTAAAACTGGTTACTTTGAAATCCTGCTGTAGTTAATTGTACAGAAATAAACCTTATCAAAGTAAATTTAACACCTGAAGGTGCCATTTAATTTTCTTATTTGCTTTACATGCATATGCACACTAACTTCTTCCACAGACTAACAGAATTTGATATTTTCCATATCAATTTAATTTTTTATAAGTACAGTCATGCTAATGCCCTGCTAATTATCCATCTACCAACCTGAATTTATGGGGAAAAATACATCATCTATCATTCTGTAATTTTAGCTTATCTCCCACATAAACATTAAGTTCATTAAATTACAAGTTATAACTGAAATGGAAGCTCTTCTGTGTCACTCAGATGAAAAAGCAATAATTGCATTGCTTTACCTGAAAAAACTTCTTGGCCTCATCCATAGCTTGTGGGAATGACTCTCTGCATTCCTTAACAGAATAACAGAAGTAAAGCTTATTTTCCTCTCCAGGTAATAAAACTATCTCGTGTGTTACGTTCGTGAAAAAGCCTGATTCAATCGCAGCAAAAAAATTCAGAATAATCACATAGAAGTTTATGCCTGCAATAGAACAGAAGAAAAGCATGTGGAGTTACCTAGTGCTTAGTCAAAATAGTGATTAACAAAATAATTAAGGCTCTGCTTAAATGACTTAGCCACTTGCACCAGAAGTTATTCTACTGACATTGTTGGCCCTAAGAAATATGAGAGACTAGAAGAGCCTAAGAAAATTTGGTAGAGACAATTAGCATGCAAATCAGGTTGGGGCTTTATTTTGTTCCATTGATGCACTATATATATATATATATATATATATATATATATATATATATATATATATATATATATATATATATATATTTGACATATTTACACATATGAAATTATATATATAATATATATTTATATATTACTTATATATAATATATATAAATTATATATATATATATATAAAATTTCACTAACTCATATGTGTGAGTGCCTGTTGCCTGTGGAGGCCTGAAGAGGGCACCAAATTCCATAGTATTGGTGTTACAGATGGAGTCATGTTGCTCCTTGGAATTGAATCTGCAAGAGGAACAACTGCTCTTCACTGCTGTACTCTCTCTGCCATTAAGTTGGTTTGATTACTATAGTTCTATAACATAGCTTGGAATCTGGTATTGTAATTCTTATGGCATTGCTTGTTTTGATCAGGATTGTTTTGTCTATCCAGTGTCATGGATATTTGATTGCAATTACACGGAATATGTAAGTTGCTTTTGTTAGGGTGGTATTTTCACAGCAATAATTCTACCAATTGATGAGCATGGGAGATCTTTCCACTTCCTCAGTTCTTCTCCAGTCTTGTTCTTCAGAGATTGTAGAGCTCATTTCCTTTCTTGCTTAGGTTTATCCCTAGATATTTGATTGTTTTTGAGACTATTCTCAGTGAGATATAAATTTTCCTTTGAGCTACCAGGAATAGACATAAGTTAATTTTGTTGATTATAAAGCATGACTATTATTTTGAAATGCACACTTATGCGATTCACCATTTGAACTTTATCGCCAGTGGGATTTACTTGTGAAGAGACCTCCAACTATTAAGTCTTTTGGAATCACACTATAGTGAAGTTCCTCTGTGAGGTCTCCAAATGACCTAGTTGGTGGTAATGTGAACTCACCAGCAGCCTTTAAGTCTGTTGTTTTCAGCAGAAGAAAGGTTTGGCAAGATAAGGGTTTAACAGAATTGGAGTTGAGGAATCAGTGTATATATTTTTTAAAAGGATTTGAAAACAGAAGGATAGGGAAGGAAGTTATTTGATTGCTTTCAATGTCTCACTGGCTGTGCTATGGCAATGCTGATGTTGTGGTCAGGATTGACTTGAAGCAGCCTCTGAAGTGTTTAAACAAGACCATGGAGTATGAGTACAAATAGAATAGGCAGAAGTTAATGGAAATAGAGTTGAAAGGACATAGAATAAGTAACAGAAACTCAAATCCTGAGTACTTAAAAGGACAAAGAAGTTTATCGTTTTTCATAGTCAATATATTTGGTATCATAATTCAGAGCAGGATATGTAAGAGGGTTTTTTTGTTTGTTTTATAGTTTTTTATTTTTTATTATTAGTTACCTTTTATTAACTCTGTATCCCATCTGCATCCCGCTCCCTCCTTCCCTCTCAAACCCTCCCTCCCTTCCTCAGCTTCTCCCTGCTCCTTTCCAAGTCCACTGATAGGGGAGGACCTACTCCCCTTTCATCTGATCCTGTTTTATCAGGTATCTTCAGGACTGGCTGCAAAGCCCTCCTCAGTGGCCTAGCAGGACTGCTCCTCCTTGGGGTATGGGGAGGTCAAAGAGCCTGCCATTGAGTTCATGTCAGGAATAGTCCCTGTTCCTCTCACTATGGGAAACCAATTGGTTACTGAGCTACCAAGGGCTTCATCTGAGCAGAGGTTCTAGGTTATATCTATACATGGTCCTTGGTGGAGTGTCAGTCTCAGAAAAGACCCTGTGCTCAGATATATTTGGTCCTTGTGGAGCTCCTATCCTTTCCACGTCATACTAACTCCCCCTTCTTGCATATGATTCCCTGCACTCTGCCGAAGGTTTGGTTCTGACCCATATGTCTCTCAATGGAGGAATGGATACAGAAATTTTGGTATTTTTACACAACAGAATACTACTCAGCAATCAAAAATGAGGAAATCATGAAATTTGCAGGCAAATGGTGGGCTCTAGAAAGGATCATTTTGAGTGAGGTGTCCCAGAAGGAGAAAGACACACATGGTATATACTCACTCATATAGTCCTATAAGATATGATAAACATAATGAAATTTATACACATAAAGAAGATAAACAAGGAAGAGGACCCGGGATAAGATGATCAATCCTCAATTAGAAAGACAAATGGGATGTGCATTGTACGTAGGAGAAAACAAGTAACAGGACAGGGGCCTATATAGAGGGCCCCTGAAAGACTCTACCTAGCAGTGTATCAAAGCAGATACTAAACCAAACCTTCGGCAGAGTGCAGGGAATCATATGAAAGATGTTTTATATATATATATAAAATATATATTATTTGATTATTACCCAAGAAAACAGAAGAGAAAATCGTACATCTTCACCAAAGCAATAGCAGTGTTCACTTCAGTGAATCAATCTTACGCTGTATGAAAGCAAGCATGGTGCCTGCAGACACATAGGGAAAATGTAACACTTACCACCCCAGCCACTGCTGGGCGATAGACAGTCAGGGAATTCATCATTATAGGCACACACAGAAGTATTGGAAGGGTCTGAAAATCTATCTGCAGAGAGAAAAGAGTAGGTTAAAAAGCATCTGAAGTGAACGCTCAGGATTTTCATAGAGCTAGGTAATAATGGGCAGAAAAGAAAAAAAGCCAATGTAGGAAGGAGGGGTACTTGCTGAAATAAGGGTTGGTATGGTGGTTCTCCATCTGCTTCCAGGGACTTTGGGAGTTGGAAAGCAGTCAGAGACTCATCTGTAAAAATCCCTGTTGACTGAGCTAAACCAGCAGAAGCTTATGGTCCCCAGGTAGCTTCTGCTAGGCAACATCATTCTTCCCGCAAAGGCTGAAAGCTTTATGAACTGTACTTAACAGAAAGAGACTTCCTGCACAATGTGTGACATTCTAGTATTGTGCCATTCTGTACTTGACCTGGGCCTAGTCACAGACAACGAAAAAAAAAATGTTGGGGAAGAATACTAGGAGTTGGGAAAGCTACTACATTTACAGAGCCTATGTGATAAGAAAGCTGACTCAGGGCATCCCTTAGAAATCATGCACTGCATAGGAAAATACAGTCAAACAGAAGAAAGAAGAAAAGAACTTTCCAGAAACACAGTAAGGCCTCTCCTCTCTAATTGGTTACTCCATCATTTTTTTTTGTTTCAGTATGACAAGTAAGTGATTCAGTCACTGTCTTCTCGACTTTCTTTTCAAGGACAGTGTGAGAAAGTGTCTTGTCTTAGATTTTTCTTCCTGTTACCATAAGACAAAACCTAGGCATTTAAGGAAAAGTCTATTCTTGGCCTTATTTCATGAGAAATTTTACTTTGATTTCTTAGTGAAAAGATTTTTTTTGTAATATTTTCTGTAATAACCATAACTAACAAGACAGAAGTACTTGTAGCGCCAATTTCTCCAAGAGCACTGTTAGACAGAAGCGTGGTATCTGGGTCTGGTTAATCGAGAAGGAATGTTTCTTCTCCATGCTGTGTGCATGTGTAGCTTATGGAACAAGGATTTACATTAAAGACTACGTTTTTTTCTCATACCAGAGAGTTTATGACACATAAAAACAAGTATGCTACGTAATATTGCACACAGACATCATTGACCAAAGCACAAGAAGTTCCTCACAGTGGTAGAGAAATGGTTGTACCAGCAGCAGCACTTAAACACATCAAAAACCTTAGTATGGCAAAGGAGACTTCCTCAGGAAGTATTAAAATGAACTTACCTGATTTATATAGCTTTCCATAAGTTAAGGTTAGAGCCCACAGTACGTTGCCCGTATCACCTCGTCCAAAATGCTTAAAATATTTGTTTGATTGTGTTATAAGGATTTTATATAACTGTAGTCGATGTGCATAATCCCAGACATGAATGACGGTTTTGTTATCCTGCACTGGAAAATCGTCTATACTCTCACTAACCTCAGACCAAAATGGAGGAAAATCTGTATCTCTCTCTGCAGCTGACCCTGGATTTTGGGTCAATACTTTAGAAGAGAGGTTCAGGAACAAGAAACTGTAAATTGTAAAAATAAACCACATCTTCTCACCGTTCCTTGAGTTAGATTATCCAGGTAACAGAGACACAATATATAACAGGAGTCACATAATCCTGTTACTGCTTGGAGAATGCCAAATCGCTAAGCAAACAATACACTTGGCAAAGAGCACCTATCGAGTCACGAGTCAAGGCATTGGACAGAACAGATTTAATAAATGACTAAGGCTTATTGCAAAGTGCCTCAGATAAGTAGTCTCCGACTGTTACTGAAAATAGTGAAGTGGCCCTTTATTCCTTATAATGCAAAATATCTGCCTATGGACAGCTTCACCAGAACAGTGTCTTAACTATTCACTTAACAAAAATAATTATACTCGATATTTTATAAATGTTATTTCCCAGTCAACACTATAAGAACAAAAGTAAGTACAAACAGTCATTTTAGGTTTGGAAGTGAGTAAAACTTAGTGAGTAAAACATAGACAAAACTATCTTCTGTCTATGTTGCTGGTTTGATAATGAAAAGGTAAGAAAGAAAATGTCTAACTTTGCTTAATCAACTCCTTAAAATTGTATTTTATGTGAGCTCTTAGTCATTCTATTGGGATATATATCCATACCGGTATTTTAAATAGTATAAAACATATAATACAGCAAAAGAGATTCAAGTACTGTTTCCTGTAACTCTTCCAGGCTTATAAATTATAGCTATGTCTAAAAGGTAGATATGAAAATGTTATAAGTGATAGGCCATAATGCATCCAGAGCAACTTGCGCCAGTCTTATGTAATGAATGCAATGCTCCATTTTTTAATTTTTAATTTTATTGCATTAAATTAGCATATGCATGTGTCTGTGATTTAAAATTATAGTTTAATAAACTATTGTTAAAACATGAATACATTCATTAAAAAATAACTTCCTTTTACTTTTTTTTTTATTGAGACAAGGTTTCTTTGTGTAGACTTAGATACCCTAGAACTAGCTATATAAACTGGGCCGGCCTGGAACTCATAGAGATCTCGCTGCCTCTGCCTCCCAAGTGCTGGGTTTAAAAGCATGCATCAATGAAAAATAAGGAAATCATGAAATTTGCAGGTAAATGGTGGGACCTAGAAAGGATCATCCTGAGTGAGCTGTCCCAGAAGCAGAAAGGCACACATGGTATATACTCACTCATATAGACATATAACATAGGATAAACCTACTAAAATCTGTACATCTAAAGAAACTAAGCAAGAGAGAGGACCTTGACTAAAATGCTCAATCCCCATCCTGAAAGGCAAAGAGAATGGACATCAGAAGAAGAAGAAGAAGAAAACAGGAAAGAAGCTAGGAACCTGCCACAGAGGGCCTCCGAAAGCCTCTGCCCTGAAGACTATCAAAGCAGATGCTGAGACTTATGGCCAACTGTTGGGCAGAGTGCATGGAATCTTATGTAAGAAGTGGGAAATAATAAGAGCTGCAGAGGACGGGAACCACACAAGGAGAGCAACAGAACCAGAAAATTTGAACACAGGGAACTTCCCAGAGACTCATACTCCAACCAAGGACTATTCATGGAGATAACCTAGAACCCCTGCACAGATGTAGCACATGACAGTTCAGTGTCCAAGTGGGTTCCATAATAATGGGAAGAGGGACTGCCTCTGACATAATCTGATTGGCCTGCTCTTTGATCACCTCCCGCTGAGCGGGGAGCAGCCTTACCAGGCCACAGAAGATGACAATGCAGCCACTCCTGAAGAGATCTGATAGAGTAAGATCAGAAGGAAGGAGAAGAGGACCTCCCCTATCAGTGGACTTGGGGAGGGGCATGTGTGAAGAGGGGGGAGGGAGGTTGGAATTAGGAGGGGGGAGGGAGGGGCTTATGGGAAGTACAAAGTGAATAAAGTGTAATTAATAATAAAAAAATTAAAAAATAAATAAAAAGCATGCATCACCTCTGCCAGGCCCTCATTTATATAATATTTATGTATGTGAGTACAAATATACTTAACATCCAAGCAGTAAAACTGTCCCTCTCTTATATCCCTCCAGAAGTTTCTTCATGATGAAACTGAAAAATACAGCCCATGTCGTAAAATAACTCAGTCAATAAAAAAATCAGTAACAAACCATGACAGTGGGCCATTTTCTGTCATTTGGTAAGTCACGAATATGGGAATGATTTCTAGGAATAAAAGCTAATATTCTAGACACACAAAACCCCTATAAGTTGTAAAGCATCAACCAGCTCTATAGCTTGAACAGCAGTTACACATTGCAGAAGGAAGATGAGCATATTTGAGATAAGAATAGAAACTTTATACATAAAAATTAGAAAAGTGCTAAAGTAGTGTGATGATTATACTTACCTGAAGGACAATCGAGGATACATGTGTTTATGTGTATATTAAACACATGCATCCGAAATCTTCAAAATAAAGTGAAGCAGAAAACAAATAAGAAAAAGTATGTTAAGAAACAATGGCCAATACACTTTCAGATTTGTTTTAAGATCAATAATCACAGTTCATTAAACACAACCAAACCTAAAAATATGAAGATTACTATAAATACTATTAACTCAGATTCTTTAAAAGATGATTTAGTGTTTAATAAAACAACGAGACTCTGAGTAACAGAGGGTGGGGAAGGTCATCTGGCAGCCCACCAGGTCTTCTGTTAATTCTGTTTATATTAAAATGATCTTTGATGTAAAAAAGCTGTCAATTTTTTTCAGTTAGCAAAGTTGTAGAATTCAAAATCAGTAGACAAAATAGATGCGTTTATGTAAAACTTTGGTTAAGAAAAGCTTCAGAAATCTATTAATGTATAATAATGTTGGAAAGGCAGCTATTAATGGACAAGAAGATCTTGATATGGATATGCTAACAGCATTACACAAATTAATCATAAAATAATAACATTTACTAATAAAATAGAAATTTAAAATACAACAGTAATAATACTAGATTGAAATAAAGGTATTACTCTTAATACCTCCCAACAATTTAGTGCTGCTTATTATAAAAATACAAGCATTCTAGAATTCATATGGAATTTTAAAAGACTTGAAGTAAATAAAAATTAATAATAAAGAAGAAAATTACAGAACTAACATTTCTTACTTGTAAAAACTCATTACAAAGTTGTCATAATCAAAACTATGGTACTGGTGTAATGGTTGACACAGTGGTATAGAATAAACACTGTAGAAATAACTTTTCACATACATTTCCCAATGATCTCTCACAAAAAAAGTAAAACCTTTTTATGAAAGAGAGGGCACTGTCTGCACATTGCGTATTCTCACACTCCCCACACTTAGGGAATGAGGACAGCTCTTTATCTTACAGCACAGATAAAAGTTATCTCAAAATGCAAGGAACAGAAAATGGCAATTGAACTTACCCAAATAGTAGAAAAAATGCTGGATCAGACCTCATGTTAGAAATGACAGTGATTTCTTTACTGTGTGAAGGACATTCACTGTGAATGACAACCTACGTGTGAGATTTTCCTCAGAGCTGCTAATTATTCAACTCTCCAGACACCACTTGATTATCCACCTATTCATTTCAATTTGGATATTAATTATTTAGAACCAGGGCCCAGTTTCATATGTTTAAGGGTTTATACAACAAGACTACCCTAATTACAGATGTCAGTCTTAAGAGCCACAGCGCCAAATCGTTCTCACTTCTGTCTGAATAGTCAACAGAGCTGTAGGGTTCCCACCAATTCATCCATGTTATACCCAAGAAATTTCTGCTATGGATTATAAAAACTGTGACAAGTCACAATCAGAAAGCAATGATAAAGAGTACAGTTCAGAAAGAAAAAGAGAAGAAATTTGTAAGACAAAAGATATGCATATGGGCGTGTGTGTGTGTGTGTGTGTGTGTGTGTGTGTGTGTGTGTTTGTGTCCCCAACCCTGTGTCTGTGTGTCTCTATGTCTGTCTGCAATGGCTCAAAACCAAAAGCAATGCTAATTATCAATAACTCAGGATGAACAGGGATGTTTCAGATTCTGACAGTCTAGAAACAAAGAGGGATCATTTCTCAATGGTCAAAATTTAAAAGACAAATTGGAAGTTGGAACTTTCCCATGACCAACTGCAGTAATGATATAATCCTTTCTTTCTTAGCTTTAGATTATCAAACCAACAACACACACACAAAGAATACTCTCATCTTTTCTCTCCACCAAACTCCAAAAGACTTCCTTTATGTTCATTTTTCTTCTTTTATTAGTTAGTAATGGCTGGGAGAAAACATTTATAAAATACTGAGTATATTTCCTTTGCTGCATACTAATATACTTGTGACTATAGTGTAATCGTTACCTTTCCATTTTGTTATGCAGGTCTGATGGTAATACATGTTTTATGGGGTGACAGGATATCAAACTATAGTGTGATTGGTCTGTGGTGGGGATTGTCACCTCCCAGCGTTGAACACGAGGATGGATGACCTCCGTGCTTAGCTGGATAGCTATAAATCTTTCCTATTCTTTTCATCTGGAAACTATGTAAGGAAAGAGGCTTATGTACGCCCAGTTGACTAATGTGTTGGCAGCACCCTGTGATATTTTCACTGTCGTCTCTAATCCCTACAACAATCACGGGGCTTTCTTTTCTCTCATTGCATCACTTTTGAAGATCATTCTAGGTTAGTTTTTCTCAGAAAGGAGTGTCAAACGAGATTTCCTTCTCAAAAGTGAGAAGGAAAAAAGGCCTCCTCTGGTAGATCTGGGCAGACACCCTGATGAACCTCACATAAACTATGGGTAAGATTTCAGAAATCTCCCCCATGAAACATGCTCCAATACTAAAGGCACCTGTGGGCCTGGGTATCATACTCCAGTATTTATAGCCTATCTGATATTCAGCACAGTTCACTGTGCTTAAATGTAAGGATAGAATCCACTTTAAACAAGGAATCACAACTCTACAAAGAATTACTGGCTATGGACACCAGCAAGCAGGGCTTCTTTCCACTTGCCTTGTATCTCTGTAGTCTAGTGTGGAGATAAAACATCCAAGATGACTTTTGACAGTGACATTCATGTTCCATCTTGAAGGAATGAA